GCTGCATACGGAAACCGAGAATATGTGGTTGCAATGTTTCATGATCAAAGCTTTCTATTAAATAATTCGTGAGATGAGTCATCATTACGTAGTAACGTTTTTAACGTTTGTACGTACTGCGCATGCTCGGCCTCGTTGTCTAGTATTGCACCACGCATGCGTCCCTGCCAACGTCATGAGGTCAGTGACACATCTGTGCACTTGTTTACTAAGCTGCAGCGAAAACTCTGATACGTATTCATATTTTAGAGGTAAATCTGCGGTGGCGAACTTATGTGTTCATGTATGTTGAAGTAAACGCTATGCTAAATATTTGCGCCATTGTCAGACGCACCAAAATAGCTACCAAGTCGACAAGAAAAGGTCGTTTTTTGAGCTTCATGAAAGACGCATCGATTCAGTCCCAATGCCTTTGACAAATGGCTGGCTGATGTACACAGAACAACCCAGACGGCTGACATCGGTGCCCACCGAAATCAACTGTTGTGTGCTTTGGAATGTTGTTTACCGGTAATTATTTTATGAAATGTGGTATTTTTGAAACTGTAGAGTAGTGCATAGCTTAATGTTTATCTTTCTTTAAATTAAAAAAATGTTAATGGTAAATGTCGGTTTTGAAAACTCACCGAAATGCAAATGATCATAATACCACCTAATAGTGATATAATTTCAAAATTTAATAAGACGTTGTAGTTCTTGCTATCAAAAAATATATTGATTTTTGAGTTTGACTTTCATTATTTTTACCCATTGCTTTATCTCACTGACAGCTTTACATATTAAACATAAATTTTACGTGATTACTACCGCGTGTCTCCTTTCTCAACACCAAGCCACAAACCTCCATACCCTAAAAGCATTCTTTAACAAGTATTGAATTCATGTCTACTTCACAACAAACCGACTTCAGTCAAATCCTTTTACTAATTTATTATTGACTATTCTGTATCCGACTGTTTTATGTACATATATTTTTCTGACTCGGTGTGCTTGCTGCTCTCGACAATATTGCCTTTCAGTAGAGCTGGCAATGACGTAATAATAATGTAAGTACATGTATGTTATATTTATTTTCAAATATTTATATATTATTTTCAATTCTTAGCCGCCCCCCAATAAGAGTTCATTCTCCTCATTAGTTAACCGAAAGTGAAAGCACTGCTTGTTTGTAAACAATGACACCATTGTGTCCAATCTCCTTCTCAGAGGCCTTTGCGTTTTACACAATAGTGTCTCTGCCACAGGCAGCCTTCAATTTTGTGGTCAATCACCTCACGACGCACGGCCATCTTTCCGCGGTTGTTTCATTTGAAACCGAACTACAAAAAGTGGAAAAAAACGTATCTGACATCCGAACTATTTATTAATGTCAGACTTCAGTATGTCACACGCAACGTAATATTACCGTAATTGGTATAGTACAGGTGTGATGGTTCAAATACCAAAATGGCAACAGTAGCAGAAAGATTTCCCTGGCGGCGATGATAAAACACGAACACGGAGCCAACAGATGAGGGTTCAACTGGTACTGGTATTATTATACTCTGCAAACATCAAGTACAATAACGCGGTAAAACTCCACTACTCCAATAACTAGATACTTAAACTCCAATACAATTCAACGAGATCTCCGATCTGAACTCAGTGCTGAACAACTCCCCTATATATACCCACACTGTCTATAAATAGACCAGTACATTAGCATACATAATGAGTCTGACACTTACAACAAATGTCTAGAATGTTCCATTACCTTCTATTGCCTTCTACAGTGTTCTATTACCTATTCAACCAGTTCCTAAAAATCTAAAATATTCTACACCGACACAGTACGTTTCTAGAACATTCTCAGTGACACGGAAGTGGTAAACAAGTCGCATGCGACACAGTAAAAACTATGTTTTGCAGGGTAATGTTACTGTAGTGAAATGGCGCACGTGTTATGTGCACGGCTCCTTGTCTAACCGTCCAGGTACAACAAAACCATGAAAATCACTGGGATATCTGGACCAGCATTGATCAAATAATCAATAATTATCTTGTGTCGCCTTTTTGGCAAAGCATGTTCGAGATACGGGACACAACGCGCGAAAGGATAAAATGATGTCTAGTTGGAATTAGAACTTGATGAAACCGATCGTCACGTGTGAATCTAACTGATAACAATTCATAACTGGGGTGTAAACACAAAAAATGGGTCGACCCTTCGCAGCACCCTCCCCAATCACTGGGCATGTAAACGCATTGGCTGAAATTAAATCACTGTGATATGCGACTTCGGGAGATATTGTACGATGTAAGGTCCGCAGGTGCCAGTAATCGCTGGAATGGGCTTTGTTGAAGTCAGGCTAACTCACGAAATTGCCTTTGCGACAGTATGATAGGAAGACGGCCACACAGTTCTGACATCTAGTTGGTCCAGTTACAACTCAAAACTAATAGTTTGAAATACTAATGAAATAGATGCGGAAACTATTCTCTAATTGATTTTTGAAAATGAATTTGAAATGTTTACGAATTGTAAAAACCTAAACTGAACAAAATAAAATAACAAAATTACAAACCGTGGTTCTGTCGTCTGCCATGATTGAAGCAAGGTTTGATCTTGTCTGAATATCCAAATTGAAAACTAGCGTTTTTGTAGTGAATTTGAGTATTAATTCCTAGAAACAGTGACCAGATCGTAATACCCATGGAATCAGACATTACGTCATTGGTGTACCACGTGATACATTCTAACCAACTAAAATCCCATACATTGACAATTTTACATTTTAATTAGGGAAATCCCGGTTATCGCCTGTATCGAAAGTTGTAAGTTTGCCAAATTATTTTGAGACTGCGTAGGTATATTATGAAAATGATTCAGTGAAATGCAATTAAGTAAACACGAATTTCTGTAATGTGCGAGCGAACAAAATAAGAAGAAATTCGAAGGGTTTGCTATATTTGCAAATTTGTTTAAAATTGTCTTCATGTTCACATGTTGGCGAAAATCTTTCAATTTCAACTTAATAGTTTATTAATGTTTAGTAAAAACATTTGAAAATGAAATAACTATAAATATAAATAATTAATTTTTAAACTTTTTTTATTTTCACAACAATGAGAACGATTGCACAAGATTGAACAACACACCAAAATGGGCTAGCCAGTACAAATGTACATGGGATCCAATGTCAGTGTCACAAAAATGAGCTAGCCAGTACAAATGTACATGTGATCCATGTCAGTGTCACCAAAATGGGCTAGCCAGTACAAATGTACATGGGATCCATGTCAGTGTCACCAAAATGGGCTAGCCAGTACAAATGTACATGGGGTCCATGTCAGTGTCGCCAAAATGGGCTAGCCAGTACAAATGTACATGGGATCCATGTCAGTGTCACCAAAATGGCCTAGCCAGTACAAATGTACATGGGATCCAATGTCAGTGTCACCAAAATGGGCTAGCCAGTACAAATGTACATGGGATCCATGTCAGTGTCACCAAAATTGGCTAGCCAGTATAAAAGTACATGGGATCCATGTCGGCGACACCAGACTAACCTAATAATACATGATTCATAATCATCTACTTTTATTTGATCACATCTATCTAAGAATTATCAGCAGTCAGTGACTATCTCGAGCTCCAAAAAATCTTTAAGAAGCTGTTACGTAACTCAATTGATCTGTTCACTACACATGTGTAGGACGACACTTTTAACCTTGAAAAACAGATTACTATTAAATGATTGTTACATTTGACACTCAATTATTTAGAAACGAACAAAAATAAATAAGCTAAACTATTAGTATATAAAAATAGATATAAAACATACATAAACATTGTCAAGCCAGATAGATAAGCGCTGTTCTGTTTGTAAGTGGAGACGGTGGGTCTGAACTGGACAGTTTGATTATTATTTGTCAGTGATTGCTTGTCATGCAGGTTTGGTATGCATAATTCCAGTCTCCCCTGACAATGATAGAGGATCGGTGTCAAATACATGAACAAATTGTGTCTTCCGATCTGTGTGCCAAATTCTCAATCATATCGCTTGCATGCCCGAAATGCGAGGCAGACCGTGTGAGTACTGGATAGCGAGTTACCCCTGAGATAATGGACAGACCCATTTCCCTGACGATGAAACGAAAGCGTAAGCTTCGCATGGTGAATATTAATTTGAAGAATAGCTTGACACATTATTTCTATCTAAGTCCATCGTCATATCCACGATAATTTAGGAATTCCACTTTGCGCAAAAATATTGATTTTTCAAATTTTGACAAGTTTTTCTGACTCGGTGTGCTTGCTGCTTCCGACAATATTGCCTTTCAGTAGAGCTGACAATGACGTAATAATAATCTAAGTACATGTATGTTATATTTATTTTCAAATGTTTATATATTTATATAACTCGTCCATGGGATCTACTTCACAACAAACCGACTCCAGACAAATCCGTTTACTAATTTATAATTGAATATTCTGTACCCGACTGCTTTATGTGCACATATTGCGTTTTTCTGACTCTGTGTGCTTGCTGCTCTCGAAAGTATCGCCTTTCAGTAGAGCTGACAATGATGTAATAATAATGTAAGTACATGTATGTTATATTTATTTTCAAATATTTATATATTATTTTCAAAACTCGGAATGATTTAACAGAAGACCGTGAGCAATATTCTGCAGTCACTAGGCGATAATCACTGCGAGCTTGGATCAATTACAGTACAAATCACGTCCCTCTGTCTGTGTGTTAATGTCCATTCATATAGATCGTATGTCTGAGATACTAGACAGACTGCTTGAAATACTGGATAGGTAGCCGACCCCAATAAGGGTTCATTCTCCTCATTAGTTGACCGAAAGTGAAAGCACTGCTTCATGAATAGTAATTTGGAGAATAGTCTTGTACACTATTTCCATATAATTACAGTGTGTCACAGGGTCGTCACCTTCGCACGCGCGGGAATTGAGGACCAAGCGACGATATCAACACACGCTAAAAATGCAAACGCTCATGGGTAGACGCTTGTTTGTGAACAATGACACCGTTGTGTCCAATCTCCTTCCCAGAGGCCTTTGCGCTTTACGCAATAGTGCCTCTGCCACGGGCAGCCTTCAATTTTGTGGTCAATCTCCTCACTACGCACGGCCATTTTCCGCGGTTGTTTCATTTGAAACCGAACTACAATCAAAGAAAGCTTAGAAAGAACTCCCGTGTGCTGAGAGTTTTGGAGACACATTAAAAATTAATTCAAAATTACTTATACTTGAGATATTGATGGAATAGCTGAAAACTAATTATGCAAATAAGGTAACTAATATGAACAGATTTAGGTGTAAAACTAATAAGGTCTGCACAATGTACCAAGTTTCATTGGAATGTGATTAGAACCAAAAAAATATTAATTATTATGCTAATTAGAGAATTAATATGAACAGATTTTAACCCAAAATTAATCAGGCTGTCTATTGTCCTAGAGCATTTATGTACCAAGTTTTATTCAAATGTGATGATCAATACTTGAGATATTAGTATTAATTATGTTAATTAGGTGATTAAGAAGCATAAATATTTACCAAAAACTAATATGGTGCATAGTCTTAGGTTCATTGAAATGTGATGGGTACTATTTAAAAGTTTCATTGAAATCCAATGAGTGGTTT